AGACTTCTACTGGACCGATTTTGTTAATTAATGGGTCATTGGAAAGCCTAACTCATGTAGATTTGCAAATAATTATAAAATTGTGATTTTATTAAATATTTGTGGTGAAAAAGTAAAAATAACAAAAATACATTAAAAACTGCTTTTTCAAGTTTCTGTTTTTATGATTCTATTTGTAGCCAACTTTTGGCTGCCTTTATTAAGTATTTTAAAGAAATGCATAGTAGTTATTTGTAGTAAATTTTATTCTCTTTCAGAATATCACATCCACTTTGGTAGATTTTTCCTTCATTTAAAAGTTATTGGCAATAAGCTAAGTGATCTCCAAATTTATAGTGGTGAGAAAATAGGTACTGAATTAGATATATTTTTGTTAAACTTTGTACAACTAAACCTAGACTTTTACCGGACCGATTTTGTTACTTAATGTTTAATGTTAATGTTACTTAATGTTGTGTTGTGTTGTACTTAATGTCGTTGGGAAGCCTAATATGTGTATATTTTCAAATAATTATAAAAGTTATTTTTTAAAAGATTAACTAGGTAAAACCCGTCAAAGTCGACAGTTACTGTTGAAGTTGCAAGCAAGATCGTTTGACTATAAATCAATGATAAATAACTCCATTTTTTGAACAGTTTGTGTTGTTCGTGATTTAGCTGTGTGCTTTAGGTGCGACCAATCTTAATAATCAATAATTCAAATGGAAGCTGGTATTTCACTGAAGGATTTTAGGTCAAAACAAATAAAATAACGTACAGTATCCAAGATATAATCAAATTTATATTTTCTGATTGAGTGATACAGTATGTTGAACTTATCTGATTAAAACTATCAATATCTCAAGTGAAAGCCTTTGAAGTATTTTAAGACCAAGACATATGAAATAACTTAAATAAAAATAGAGTTACGTATCATTGATTGCAGATAAGTAGCCTACTATAACGATAGTAATTATTGTTGATTCGTGATTCAGCAGTCTGCTTTAAGTAGTTCGATCTTAACAATCAATAGCTCAAATGAAAGCTGGTATTTCACTTAAGGTTTTTAGACCAAAACATTATAGGGTAATGTAATTAGAACTGCTGGAATTCATTTTTAATTGAAGTGGAAAAAAATAAAATTTAAATTCTTTTGTCCAGTAATATACCTGTTTGTTAGATAAATTAATGATGATCCTTGATGACACATATGTGCTTGCATAGCTTTATTTTAAAACCAAAATTATGAAAATCGGGTGGGTAGAAGAGCCAAACGATCTAAAAAAACATTTTAACTCCCATAAGAAATGTACGGGGAGGCAGTTTGTGCATAACTCGAAATATACGTCAAAATGAATGCCAATACTTGATGGCAAATCTGTGGTCCCTTCCATACCTTTAGTTTAAGGCCAAAATTATGAAAATCGGTCGGGTAGAAGAACTAAACCGACTCGGAAAAGAAAAACCAATATTTTTTATAGATAGCAATAATTGGTTTACCAGTATGCATAATCTAATCATACGAAACATGTGTTAATAATTCAACAGCTTATTGTTATATTGTTATCTAATTGATTTTTCTTTGATTAAATGTTGTTAACAATTTGCATTTGTGTTTAAAGTGTGTTCCTTATATTAAGTGTGTGATTCTAATGTCATGTGCTTAATCTGTACCATTAATATTAGTGAGTAAAGTGGTGTATAATCCATTTCAAGTGGTCCAAAGGTAATTGCTTCAAGATTTTTAATTTTTTTTAAATATTTTTATCCTTGAAAGTACATATCATTGGAAGTACAAAAATACAATTATTTTATTTTTCTACTGTATGGCGGCCATTTTTTTTTAGTCAAATGCCCGTTTTCAGCGATTTCAGAGCTCTACGTTAAATTAAATATCTCTGGTTCTACTAATCCTAGAACATTAAAATGAAAACCAATCTCTTCAGAAAGATCTAAACTTTAATATGGTAATATAGTTATGCACTTAAAACTAAATAAATAGGTCTAAGGGTGTCTACTACATTCTGGATAAAAAATTCATGGACAATTCCCGTACATTTAAGGACTTTTGTCGGTGTGATAACAGAATAATATTCCTGATTTGTCAAACTGTATTAATCTTGTTCTTCATTGTAGTTGTTCCAGAGAGAAAAGTAAATAATAATAGACAAGAATTAAATTTCAAAATAGAAACTTATTGAAAGTAAACAAACATATACTTTAGGTACAGCTTTAATAGTGTAGCAGAAAAACGCAATCATTGTCTCCTGCAATAGCGACAAAATCCTAAATATCTCCATCGGTCACGGAAACATCATAACATAGCTTATCCGATCCAGGCGGATTAATTTGGCATTATTCGCCCTGGCACAACGTTAGGTTCTCGACTACTTTTGAAAAAAAATCTGTAATGCATAATGAATGAATATATTGTAACTCGGTTCTAGGTACAAAATCGGTATGGTAAGCGGCTACCAGTAAGCACAGAGTAAGATTATTGTCTTTTCATCTGCAAAGTTAATATTGACACATAGCGATCATTAGTTAATCTTAGGCTCAATTACATTTTCTTAGTATATTTTACAGCTCTTTCAAAGAGTCAAAATACCCAGGCCTAGGCCTAATTATTTAGGAGGGCCTATATAAACTGAGTAACAAACAATGAGGTTATAATATCAGCAAAGTCACTACAATATCATCATTCTAGTTCATAAGATTTAGAATGCTTAAAGCATACAACGCAATAAATTAATAAATATGGGAAATAAAAAAAATTTAAACCTGAACGCCAACAATGTACAAAGATACAGAAAATGCAATGAAATAATTTGAAACCAAGTAGGCCTACGTAGTGATAAAAAATTAATGCAATCAACAATGCTTGTGGTTTTGTCAATTGAAAGATAAAATATCCATAACAAAGGGGTTTAACTTAACAAAATAAGACTGTAGATTAGTTACATGTTTTATATGAAACCGAAACCATAAACAGTTTTATGGCACTAGGCAATGGCCAGCGGCAAATTGAATGTTCAAGACGAAAATACAAGTAAGAAGTGAAATTTAACAGCCATTATAAAACCATTATTTCCATGATAAAATATGTTTCTAATATATGGGATATATGGGATCTAATAATGATTACTCTAGTAATAAATAAAGAAGTTGTAAAGAAATAAAAGTGATAACACTTTTATGAGCTAAGCTACTACTGAGTCAACAGTTCTTGGAAGTACTTGATTGTCGTGATAAAATATTAATGGGTTTGAGACTGCTAATGGGGTTTTTATTGCATAATTACTCTAGTAATAAATTATGAAAATGTAAACAAACATCTGATAAACCTTTTGTGCTCCTAACCAACTAGCGATTGATAAAATTATGGCCCATTAAAAATTTAAGGACATAGTCTGGTATTTAAGGACAATTCCCGTACATTTCATGGCCAGTAAAAAATTAAATTCAAAAAAAAAATAAGTTTGCGCTCAAAGAAATTGTATAAATTATAGGCCTATAAATATTTGAAAATAGCTACTTTGTTCTAAATTTTATGAGGATTCCAAAAATATAATAGTATAAGGAAGTAGATTTGCAAATAAATAAGTTATGGGCAAAAAAAAGATTTCGGTACATAGCGTTTAGCTAAGAATGCATAGCCTAACCATAGCTAGGAATCTGGCTGATAATTTACATCATATCACTACTGTACCTACTTCTTCAGGATCATCAACCAGCCCTTCAAAATCACTTAAATCTTCTTATAATGCACCACGTAGGTATATCACTACTTTTGATTTTTAACACTAAAAAAATGATAAACGTAATAAAACACATCAGTCATCGATGCGAGGTTAACCAAGCTGTTTACAAATACGCACGCCACTCGCGTCAGCTGTCTGCTACAATTAAGATCGGCTCGAGAGAAAAAAGCGCTTAGAGACAGACCTCGGGAGAAAGCTTAGAATATGCCAAATAAAACGATACCTAACTCGATCCAGTTCAATCCGATTTTGTCAGTCGTAGCCTAAACAGTGTTTGTGAGTCGAAATTTCGACACAAAACACTACACCGAAATTTCGGCACATAACATTCTGAGGGTTAAGACGAGTATAAACAGTTTCACTAAATCGCTAAAACTCCTCGGTCCACTAAAGTTAACTTATTGACCCATCTAGACCACCATAACTTACATCATCAGGTACTCAATGAACCTTAGATTCACAATTTTATCTCCGTTGTACAGTCACATAGGAATATTTCCGACAACAACTGATTATATTTTTGGATTTAGCATGCAAAAAATGGGTAGGTGTGTAACTGCGGGGTGTGTACGAGGCTCTGGGCAATAATTCTTACAACCCTGTGGATCTTCTTTTGGCCCAATAATCTTTTTATGTACAAATACCCATATCAGTAGATAGCCATTGAAGCTACTGCTGAATGATGGTAGAAACAGGCTACTGAAAAGCTACTCAACAGGAAAATAACCTAAGTCTAAGAGCCTTCAAGTGTTCAGACAGAAGCTTTCCAAATAAGTGGCTTTCGAAGGCAATAAGAGTTAAACTCAGCTAAGTTCAAACAGATTTTTGAAAGCGCTAAGTTATAGCTTGAGATGTCCATTGTCCTAGACCTATGTGTGACAAGTGCTAACCCATAACCAGTCTAGGCCAGGCAAAGTTTGGCTACACTGCTACACAAGACATCTTTTTATGGGATAGAAAAATAAATCAATATATAAGCTGCAGACTAAAGAAGAGAAGTGGTTTGATCGTCAAGTAAAGATGGACTAACGGCTTTAAAATCAAGGGTTACACAATTAAGGACGGCTACATTCTTAGTCTAGGGGAGTAGGCTAAAACGAAAACAACTACAGGTTAGGACTTTAGCCCGTACAGGAAGTGATTGGGTTGAACACTCAGATTTTACATTTTTCTATACTAGTAATTTAAGTTTCAATAACTTACTGAGCAAAACAGTGTTTATATGGTCTAATAAAACTAAATAATGTTACATTAGCTCACCACGTGCAATATCGCCTCACAAACGGGAAGATGAAAAAGGAAACGTCAAAGGCGATTGTAAAGAGTAGAGAGTTGAGAGTACTAAGTAAGTGATCAGAAAGCAGAAAAATATTGAAGCTCATAGAGTAAAATTGGACTTTAAGCAACCCATTGGTTATAGAATATTAACGATATTAACGTTTTCACATAACTTCAGAAATTCAAATGGAACGGGCGCTGTGAGCGTAATAAAATCGAACGCCGCTTTGATTTTTTTTTTCTTGCCTTTGGCTATTTCAAATTACCTGCCTAGACACAAAAATGCCTTAAAACTTAAAACTATCAAAAATTGGTATTAAAAATTTGAGAAAATAATTAGGAATGCTAGAATATTTATTTCATCATCCAATATTCATTTTAGATTTTAAACCTAAATTTAATAAGTTTCTTTTAAAAACGGTAAAAATTAAAAAAGGTAATACGGTTCTTTTAGCGAATTTCCCATATAGGGAATAAGCTATTACCGTAGTACTCATGGTAAGACCTGGACCCGGGACCGATTTTCTTTTTCGTTTTGAGGTCCCTAGAGGCCAAAAACACCATCCGTTCAAATTCATATATATATATATATATATATTTATAAATATATATATATATATTTATATATATATATTTATATATATATATTTATATATATATATTTATATATATATATATGTGTCCGTTAGCGCGATAACTCGAGCAAAAATGATCCGATTTTGATGAAATTTGGTACAAACGTGTAAACCTACGTTTATTCGAACGAGTTCGCGAACCAGCATGATCGGACCATGGGAACGGGGGTTAATGGGGGCTTTCATGGGGTAAAAATGGGTTTTTCCAATTTTTGACCGAAAAAACATAAAATTTTGTAATTTCTTTCCAAACTATTTTGTAGAGCTTAAAAAAACAAATAATTTAGTATATTGAAGCGTTATAATTCGCCTAGCTGTTATGGAGAAATTGTTAATTTAAAATTCCCATGTTATTCTTATGGAGAATAAGTAAACTGTTGTAGTTTGCTTGTTTATTAACATATTTTGCCCATATTTGGAAAATGTTTTAATTTCTTACTAACTATTAACATTTTACATAAAAAAACACTTTTACCCTCCCTGTTGCAGCAAACCTAAGTATGTGTTAAACTGATTCTATTTAAATAGGGAATAAATGTGATATTTTTAAGGAGACATTTTAGTGTAAATCCAATCAGGCAAATGGAAATTCGCTTAGTCTGCAGGTTTGCTGCGGCGGGGGTATTTTAATACTCGGATTAAATATTGGTAAATATATTATTTTTGATTCGTGAAACTCTTAGGGGACCACGGCCACCTTACACTCCAGGCTGCGGCCTCCGAAGTGGCAACATCGCAAGTAGGGTTGTAACTAACAGCCGTTTTGTTTTGGAGACAGCTAATGGTATTTTTGTATTTATTAATAATATGAAAGCTCGGTTACTGGGCTTTGAAAATATTGACTCCACTTTGAATATACAAATATAGGTTTTCAATTTAAATATTGTTTTGATTTCCAATGTTTTTTTACTTTCAATATTTTAATACATTTATGTTCATAAATGTATTTTTAAAAAATAATACGCGAACAAGTGAGCTGGTGTCACCCAATGCCACACTAAAAAAAATAGTTTTTTTTAATGTGGCCTCTTGTGTCACCCTGTCTGCCATGTTAGACGTGAATCGTCTGGTGCTAGTCAACACGACTTGCAACGTTGCCAAATCTACCAGGCAGCGGCCGTGTGAGATATTAAAAGTGGCCGTGTAGGGGACGTGATTATTATTTGTATAGATACATCATATTTATTTCAAAATCGTAATCATAATAATCATATGATCACAGTCCAAGACAGTTCATTCAACGTTGATCTTCAATAGTAAATTATAAATAATAGTTGTTATAGATATTATTGACACAATTCGATAGGAAATTTAATTTACTTTAAGAATGCCATCTGTGAATAACAAAGGTGTTTTAGTTTAGCGGCAATTTTAATTAGAAATAGCGCGCGTATGAGCTCGCGTCGCGTTTTCCCGTGTTATTATGCTGTGGTTTGGGATATGTTTACAGTTTTTATCCCATAATTACGTTTATCACTTCAGAAGATCGAAACTGAGATAACGGTAATGACATCTGATTGGGGGAGTTGAGGATGTTCCTCAATTTCTTGGCAATTGTCATTCAAGTTTGTATTTGGCGTGAACACTGTAAGGTGGTCAGCAAAAAAGTCGCTTTCTCTTTGTTACTTCTGGCCCATGGGTTTATACTTTCAATTGGAGACAAAATAAGCAATAAAATCACAAAACCATTTATCAAAACCATTTATTTTTAAGATTCTTTAGCACTCGTTTTAGATCTTGAGAAGCTTTATTTAAATTGGCTTTATCCCTTTGGTTACGCGTGACTGTTGCCATATTCTTTTTTTCTCCACTATTCTCCGCTTTATCTCAACTGGATAGTTTATATGATTCTGATTCAAGTTCTTTTGTTTGGTCGCCTGGAGTTGACATAATTAAGTAGAGTGAATTAGGAAATTAAAATTTGGATTGGAGAATTAAGAAACTTGACCGCATCATCGATGTTTTCAGGGGTATTTTCAAAGAAATATTTTCATTCATAACTTCTCGAAATTTTTCCCAGTTTGTCAGTTTATAAGGAAGAGTTGGTGAGCGTTCTTTATAAATTGACACCAAACTTGATTGAAGCAACAATCATCAGTGGTAAGTAAAGGAGAAATAGTCTTAATCCCAAGAATACCTATGATTTAATCCGAACTACCCTTTGAATTCAAGCGACTACAATTTCTATTGCGCGTTGCCAGCCATAAAACATACTCCAGTATGCTTTATCAATGATATTGCTAACTAGCAATCAAATGCTAGTTTTTATTCACTTCACCCAAGTAACCTTTATCATAAGGGAGTATGTTTTATCTATGCCTTTATCATAGACTCCCAGTATGTTTAATCTATATGCCTTTATTCCTTGGTTTTGGGCGATCATATGACAGCCGTCAGCTGATTAACGGTCGAAACAGTGTGTTGGTAGAATTTGATTGGTGGGTTTGGTTTTAGGTTTTGTTTATTATTATTATTTTCTGATGAAACGATGAAACACGAAAATCAACAAGCGTAATGCTGTCTGCTCTGCCTTGTTCCTTGTTCCATTCAATTCTCAAACTTGACTTCGTAACCGTATATCCAAGTTGAGTTGTGGTTGGTTCGGGTTGGTTACTTGGTTTCTTGGTTAGCGTCGGCATTTGGGATCCCATTGATGTATGGCTAAGTTATCACTGAAATTGTGCTGAAAGTGTGATTTTAGTGCCAAAGTTCGTAGATATTTTCGTCTAATCTGGTTTGATTTCAACGGTTCAAGTTTCTACCTCGTCTAGAACCTATAAGGCACCAGTTTTGATTTTCTCACTATGCATCACGTGAAACTTAAGTGTGAACTCTTAACAGTGAAACATTTATCCCAAAGAATAGGCTAGTTTATTACAACCTAGGCCTAAAACTTTACTAAACTAGACATACCGTAGTATGTCATCCAGAAATATGCAGAGTAAAACCAATCAATCTTGTGTGAACCAATTTCTGATGAAGTTTGGGGGAGTTGTGTTATTTTTTGTACATTCCATATTCAGTGTCTTGTTTCATTTAACCAATTATTTGTGGTATTGTATACATAGCTTGAAGAGTTTATACTATAGAACTAACACATCTAGACATATTAGTGTTAGTCTACTCAAAGAAGAATTAAAATGCTATCCAAAAGTACCAAAACATTTAGCTGTGATTATAGAAGAAGAAGACATTTCTTATCAAGACTGTGTTAAGTTAATATTATGGTGCATTCATTCGGGAATACCATACATCAGCTTTTACAATCACAGCAATGGTAAGTCTTAAACCTAATGGGCCTATAGACCTAAGGTAAAACCATAGATAGATAGGCCTAAGTAAAATGATAGGTTATGACTGTAGTATCATTGTTACTTTCATAAGCGGTATCTAAAACAACCGAATGAATATATCACACGATGTATTGATTATTTTATTCGATAGGCCTATCAAGTATAATAATAATTGAATAATCGTACAAAATATTCATTCGGTTAAGTTAGGCCTATTCAGGATAACGCTTATGAAAGTCTATCTGGTAAAAATACCGATACGAAACACCAGGCAATTTGGCACCAACAGGGCAATGGTCTATGGGTGGGACAGTCTTGACAATGAGGACTCAAGTTGAGGTATCGCGGACAAGTTTCTCTTAAAACCTATTAGGCTGAGGGTTGTAGCCGGCAGAATAGTGCCTTAAATTATCCAGGATTAAGAGGTAGCTGAGTTGTTCTTTGGTTATAGTGCTCGCCTAGTAATGAAAATGCTGCTGGTTTGATCCTGAGGAAAGTGTGTTTACTTAGCTTTTTAATGATTCAAAAACTGGACCCAGATAGCCTGTCCTTGATCATTGATATTTTTTTGGTTAAAATAGGCACATAAAGGTTGATTCACACACCAGATACGGCATGTCCCAGTTCAGTCACACCCAGTCATGTAACACATATAAAAAAAAAATATATTTTTGAATGGATTTTCCGTAAGTAGTCTAGCCTAATTATTAGCCTCCAAAGAGTTTTTAATTTTGATAGCCTATCTTAAGTTACTTAATAGTTTTTTACCTCCTGAATACAAATATAAGTTACCATTAACTTATTTTTCACCGCTGATGAATATTTACTCAAGATATCACTGTAAAAAGATACAAAATTATACCTAGAATAATCAAGTCAGTACGGAAGACATTATAACAAGTGGAATGAATTGTGGGTGAAGTAAGCCTACAGCTGATTGTTTTCAACCACACAACAAGCTCGTTTGAATGCATGCAGCCGATAAAAAATTAACCGGGAGGGGGGAAGTATTATGAAACAGTTGGTATTTTAAGTAGGCCTAGGCCTAACAACTTAGTTAGGATACTGTTTGTAGCAATCAACAACATGGACGATTACAATTTTATAGAATATTGTGTTGATTGAAAATTCTTGACTGTAGCCTAGTTCTAACACCACTGTAAATACAGTTAAAGTACGTAAGACTGAGTGAAACCAATTGATAAATAGTTTGTTGACTGAGGATTGCAAATGCGACGTGAATCGACCTTAGGGTAACTTAGGTGGAATCCCCTTCTCAAATGATAGTAAAATAAAACCCTAATAATAAAGTGTGAGACCTGTCCTTGGATGTCAAGATAGGTACATCTGTACCTACTTTAAAAATGTTTTACTTAAGTTTAGGCTTCATAAAATAATAAAATAGCCCAATTTGAATCTGCAGAATGGATCACAGAGATATTACATTTTGAACATCCTTGAACAATTTTAATGATTTTAATAAGTGAATGCCTAAAGTAGTATTATAAAGTACTTAATAATACTTCGTTTTTACCAAAATTAAAGCAGGCTAACAATGTCTGTTCTTCAATTGACTTTGTTAGGTCTAGGCCTATTAAATTTTCATACTGTTAATAACTTACCAGAACACCCAAAATTTCCTTTTCTGTATGACTGTTCCCTGCAGCCCATCGTCTATATTTTTAGAATTACCTGCTCCCATTCCCTCAAATTAAAACCCCAACTACAACCATAAATAATTAAATTAGATGTGTGTAGCCCTTGTAATTCATAGGCCCTAGCAATGTTTGTAGGCCTAACTAACTTTTAGATAAAAAGTACTACGGTAAGACAAATAATGGTTAAACCTACCTTGTCAGACAATCCTTAACAAACTGTACAAAAATGATTAAAGATAGGCCTTTTGTGATTTTTGTGTAACATGTGGGTAAAACTGAACTTATACTACTTATGTTATATTGAACTTTTTTTGCCTTATCTACCTAAATTAGACTATTTTAAGCACTTTTTACCATTGGCACTTTTGGGGGAAACGCCTATTTCACCCTGAAAATCGTGTTTGAAAATCAAGAAAAAATGCTAGAAATGGCTTCTGGGGCAGAGTCCTAAGGGATTTTGCTCATTTGCTCATCTACAGACCAAGACCTTTCTTTGGTCACCTCTACCAAGTTTCTACGCCCAGCCGTTCTTTCAAATTAGTGGGGACAAAGTTTCGAATTAAATATTTAGATTCCCCCATGTTAATATTATGGGAGAAACTCCAACTTTGATGGCTTGTGGGGCAAAGCACGAGGATTTTTATTTGTGAATTTGTGAAAGGGGGCGTCTACACAACAAACACTTTATTTTGACACGTCGTTTGTAAAAATCCGTCCATTATTAACGGAGGTGTACGGTAGTGTTTCGTAGAAATCGCCTTCACGTATTATATATAAGGATATGAATTTGAAGGGATGGTGTTTTTGGCCTTTGGGGACCTCAAAACGAGAAAGTTAATCGGTCCCGGGTTCAAGTCTTACCATGAGACTATATATATATTTTGGTAATAGCTTATTCCCTATATGGGAAATTCGCTAAAACCTCTCATATAACCCCGTTTTAATGGTCCAATCATGCCATTTCACATTTCACACAGCACAGATAATTTGTAGCTTGTTTGTTTGTATATACCGTAATATAATATTTTATAGCTAAATTATATTGTGGCTGATATTTAAAAAAAATTTTTATTGTGTTTTGAATATGACTACTCTGCCATTCTGTATATTATTGAGCGGAGCGAGCGAAGCTTTTATACGTCGACTCTTGTGCATTTCGTAATACGCAAACTCCTCCTAGACGGCTGAATCAATCGTTTTCAAATTTTGCATGGTGATAAAGACCATATCGGTGAGTGCTAAAATCTATATGGCGTTAAAAATGTCTCTCAGGAATCTGCCCCACTGCGTCTCAAAGTTTCACTGTAAACCTTATGGAAGCAGTATTTGACACATAAACAAAGACATATGATCAGCTGTTGACTTTTGAATGCAGTAGATAAAGAAATAGCTGATAGCATTATTCCACAGATATTAGAACAGAAACGGTATGGATCATAAATATAATCAAAGGACGACACTAGCTTGAGGTCCGTGACGTAGGAAGTGGTGAAGGAAGTACTAAAGGTGAGCAGTCTGGAGTGTGGAAACTGTTTATGACGATTAGATTTAGGTATATGCATTCCTAAAATTTTATGGGAAGGGAGGAAAACGGGTCCGCGACGTAGGAAGTGGTGAAGGAAGTAGTCAAGGCGAGCAGTCCGGAGTGTGGGAACTTTTTATGACGATTAGCTTAAGGTATTTGCAATCCTAAAATGCTATTGGAAGGGAGGGAAACAGGTCCGTGACGTAGAAGTGGTGAAGGAAGTAGTAAATGCTAGCAGTCCGGAGTGTGGGAACTGTTTATGACGATTAGATTAAGGGATCTGGAATCCTAAAATTGTATGGGAAGAGAGGGAAACAGGTCCGCGACGTAAGAAGAGGTGAAGGAAGTAGTAAGGTGAGCAGTGTGGAGTGTGGGAACTGGAAACCGTTTGTAGCAGTTAGATTAATGTATCTGCAATGCCGAAATGCTATGAGAAGGGATGGAAGCATCCCCACGATATAGAAAATGGTGAAAGGAGTAGTAAAGGTGAGCAGTGTTGAGTTTGGGAATGGATTAATGTATTTGCAATGCTAAAACGCTATGGGAAGAGACTGTAGACTGTAGGTTAAAATGATTAGGAAGCACGAATCGATACATATTTCGATACATGCAATCGTTTACAATAGAAATTTACAACTGAGTTGACAACAGCTGATTTTTACTCCATAGAGGCTAAAAACGATTTTACTCCCTAAAGAGTAAAAATGCTACTTTAGACCCGCAACGCATGCATTAAAAACGACTGTTTTTACTGCAGTATGACTAAAAAAATATAATATTAACCCTTGATGACTCCGCTCAATTTTGTGGATGCCTCTGCGAACGCCACCTAGTTATCATAATTGTTACGTAATTGTTTTTTTTTCTTTCAGGTATCAATCCTACTTCTCTTTATGAAGTTTTATGCAAGAGAAGCAAGTCTAGTCTTCAAAATATAAAGTGGGGGAAATCATTTCATGAAAGTGTAAAAGAAATGGCAAGGAAAGATATCAATGGTAAGGATAATTGATTTCATTGATTCATATTACAACTGGTTGGTTAAAAAGTTTATGCTGTAAATGGTTCAAGTGTGGTAAGCAATCATCTAACACAATTTTCTGGCAAGGAAAGATATGAATGGTAAGGATAATTGATTTCATTGATTCATATTACAACTGGTTGGTTAAAAAGTTTATGCTGTAAATGGTTCAAGTGTGGTAAGCAATCATCTAACACAATTTTCTGGCAAGGAAAGATATCAATGGTAAGGATAATTGATTTCATTGATTTTTATTACAACTGGTTAGTTAAAAAGTTTGTGCTGTAAATGGTTCAAGCGTGTGTGTAAATGGAAACTACAATCGTCGTCAGACCCAATAGGCGAATTACAAGAATCAAAACGGCTTCCCATATATACTATTGGCTAATAGTATATAAGGGTCGCCTTTTTGTTTCTTGTCCAATATTCTGTTTTCACAAATACCTATAATAATCTATCTGGATACAACTGCAAACTTTTCATATACATTCCTAGTTATTCGTATGGTCGCCATTTCAAAGTAAAATATTAAAAGTATGATTGTAAATTTACAATCGTATAATTCATAATCCAGCCCTTACTGGAGACCAAGTTGCATAGTCCATGATGATTATGATCAATTATCATACTGATTCAACAAAGAACTCATTACAGTACCAAACAATACTCTTTACCAGGCATTTTTGCTAATTGGTGATAATGATGTTCTAGGTTATGTTTGGTCACCAGTTGTAGAAGTCAACATGTTTTCATCCAAGTCTGTCCACGACTTAATGGAAAACGTAATGCTGACTCTTTGTAGACAAGGAGTGAAACCAGAAGAAGTTACAGTAGACACTGTTGACGACAAGTTCAGAGAAGAACTGTTGCTGCCTGACCCTTGTCTCGGATTGGTCTTTGGACCAACTTTGAGCACCTTTGGGTTCATGCCTTGGCAGATTAGGGTCACTGAGTTTTCGTAAGTATGCTGTATTATGTTTTAGCGAATTTCCCTATAGGGAAGTAGCTATTACCGTAGGTCTCATGGTAAGACCTAAGCCTGGGACCGATTTACTTTTTCATTTTGATGTCCCCAGAGGCCAAAAACACCATTCGTTCAAATTTATATATATATATATATATATATGTGTCCATCCGCACGATAACTTGAGTAATTTTCGTCCGATTTTGATAAAATTTGGTTTGAAGGTGTAAGGCGAGATAAACTTGAATGAGTTCGCGAACCAGCATGATGGGACTATGGGAACGGGGGTTTATGGGGGGTTTTATGGGGTAAAAATGGGTTTTTCCCATTTTTGACCCTAAAAACACAACATTACACAATTTCTTTTTAAACCATTTTGTAGAGCTTAAAAAAACAAATAATTTAGTATATTGAAGCGTTATTATGCGCCTAATTGTTACGGCAGGGTTGCCACCAGCCATGAAAACCTTGAAAAGCTTGAATTATGCATGAATTCTTGTGACCATGAAAAACGGCATGGATTATGCATGGATTTCTCAAATGGACCATGAATTTTCAAAATCAGGAACAACAATTATTCAACCAGTACCATAACATTTTCCAAATAAAAAAATTTCATGTTTAAAAACAGTTCATAGAAACAAACACCATGAAAATACTGTGTGCAGATGATTATTTAACATGTTCCACGGTCAGAACCAATTGCTTATTTCATTCCAAGTCATTCAAAGATGCTGATGTCAGCTGAGACTTCCCGAGGACTGTATATGGTTCGAAAAATCATTAGTAGGCCTACCCCCCGCATATGAAAAAGAGGTATAAGGGACTTAAATCACAAAAACAGAAGTTTTAGACCATGCACGGAATTGAAACGGGGTGGGCAATAAAACCGAATTTCCGACTGACGCCTGATTTTCTTAGCTTTTTGGATAAAACCATCATACTTTACTTTTTTATACTTTTTATGAAATGGCGACCATACATACGGTAGTAGGTATTTTAAGCCAAGTTTGAATGGAGATGAGTGTAGGATGTATCTTAGTACAATGTGGAATAAGATAAACCAGAATGCACATTTTATGACAATTATGTAGGGGTATAAAACTGGATGAAACAGTACTTTTTTGGCTGGGTGAGTGGGATTTTTGTTTAATTCCGGTGGAAAGACTGAATCAGACCTAGACTTAATATATTTTACAATTCTTCTCCAATATCTCATATAGAATATGAGCTGGCCAGTTTTGTTTTCAACTTTGTTTTGAATGTTTATAAATCACTGTAAAAAAGTTGTATATTAAGTATGAAAGGTTATTAAAAAAAAAATAACACACAAAGAAACTGCCTCTTTAACGTCAGTTTATGAAATCAGCAAAACTGAATTGTGTTGAAATTGTATAAGCGCATCGACCATGAATTTTTTGTAAACTACCAATGAAAATCATGAATTCTGCATGAATTTTATCATCCCACTGTGGTGGCAACCCTGTACGGAGAAAATTCAAAAAAATTGTAATTTTGAAATTCCCATGTTGTTCTTATGGAGAATAAGTCAACTGTTGTAGTTTGCTTGTTTATGAACATATTTTGATAGATTTTGGAAAATACTTTTATTTCTTACTAAACTATTATCATTTTATAAAAAAAACCTTTTTTACCCTTCCTGTTGCAGCAAACCTAAGTACTCGTTAAACTAATCTATATATATAATACGCTAAGCCGATTTTTGTGAACAGAACTCCTCCCTCATTTTTGGACCGATTTTGATGATTAAAGTGTAAAAAGAATTGCCCTGATCTGTAGTTTTGCCAAGTGTTTTTAGTTTTTTGATATCTTTATTAGTTTGGGCAGGATCTTCCATCAAAGTTGGATTTTCTTTCATAAGATTAACATGGGGGAATCTAAAAATTTAATTGGAAACTTTGTCTCCACTAATTTGAGAGAACGGCTGGGCGTAGAAACTTGATAGGGGTGTCAAAAGAAAGGTCTTGGTCTGTAGATGAGTTATCAATCAAAAGAAAAACGAAGTAAATTCCTTTAGGGCTCTGCCCCAGAAGCCTTTAAAGATCCCTCTACAGATTTGTTTACATTTTGGCCATGTGGATAATACTTTTTAATGAAACAGCTGTTAATTTGTAAATTGTATTTTAAACAAGACACATTAATTGGGAGTTACTGAATTGTCCAAAAGAAGCATTTGCAATGTTATTTTCTGATTTTAAAATTAATTTTCTTCTGTATCATGTCATGTTTTGCTATAACGTTCCATGACAAAATCAGTGGAAAATCCTTTTATCACAGTAATCTTAAAATTATTTCTTATTGACCTTATATCTATTTTACGGGTTGGTGCCTGCCCTTTCCTTTTCACCATTTTTGTCTTTATTTTTATCATATTGTTCTAGACAGATCATCATAGCTTCATGAGATTATTGTCATACATGTTTTCAATCATTGGAAAAATATTCAATTGTGTAATACAATACAAAATAATAGCCTACAATTGCAGAAGGGCACGATGCCCATTTGAGCCGTGTCCATATTTTGGTAAAATAATAGTAGTTTACAGCAACTGGATAAACATTTTACAATATTTATGTAGAAATATTTGCATGATAAAGAAAGTCATTAAGCTGGAAAACTGCATACTGCAGACTTTTCAGAGAGGTTACTTCGATGTATTCATTCAGCTTAGTGAAAACATAATATAAATATGTATACAAATAGGAACTTGAATTCTTAGAGAGCCTTTGAATGTTATTAGACTAACGAAAAGGGTTGTGCATGTATACTAGCGCTACTCAGCAACAAAAACCATTTAATTTATCTCTAAAATATATATTCTTAAAGTGCACTGATCAGCAGCAAAAAAATCTATGTAATTTACCCATATGTTATTGAAAATAACACAGTATTTGGCTGTAAATATGGCCCAATGAGTAAATAATATTTAAGCAGCTACTGCATACTGCATGTCATGACAGAAAGGTCATATTCCTTTTAAACTAGATCACATCATCCTTTATAAGATACGTTGATTAACAATGCATGTAAACGTCAATATTTACGTGACAGCCAATTTACATTATTTTTGCTTTTTGGAAATGCCTCATTAATTGCTATGTCATTTGTATTATTTGTTGCCAATGAAGCCGCATATAAATGTGCACGCCCCTAACAGTTTAAGCATAAAAGCCAACTTCACTTCAAGTATATTCCACTACACCTAAAATTCCGTAGAGAGATCATATTGACAACTTTATGTAATTGATATGGCTGAGACAGCTAACTGACATCCCCCATGTCAAGGAATTCCAGCTTTAACATTAACCTCACAACAAATTTCTCAAAACTGTGATAGAGGGTTATTCATTTTAGCACAAAAGTACGATATGAACTGACGCGACGTGACGAAGGAAAAATCAAACTTACACTGTAACGGATATACCTCCCTTTGAATTTAGAACGTGTCTTCCCAACAAACAGATACAGTACTGTATTTTTTTCAAATAAAATCATAGATTAATCTGCATTACACTGATGAAATCACGGAAGTGTTAAACTACAAAAGATCCACCAATACGATTTTAATACTATTTAAAGGTTCTTCCAAACGATGAGATACCAGATAATATACTAATAACTCCAATGACGTACAGTATGGGAGATATTTTACTCATTGAATGATCCACCATATTTGGTAACTAATGCAATTAATATCAATATCATTATTGTTTTTACACTTATTAATCTTTAAACAATGCTAAATGCTCAAAATATGTACAATTTCACTCAATTTATCGCAAATAGATGATTTAGCGTAAGCCTTGAAAATAACCGTCGATTTCGACGGGTTTCACCTTGTTTAATAGACAAAAGTATCTTTATTACTGAACTCAATCTGTGTACAACTTGTAAATAATTCAAATGTAAACAATAACAATAATAACATAATATGACATATGATTATACACAGATCAAGGAATACTTTTAACCAAACATGCCCCTTTTCACAAATCTATTTTTTTTTAGCTTTGACTATCCTGGTTCTGGTACGTTCAATGAAGGGTCGAATATACCACGAATTATGACGCAACTTTCTCCCATTTACTTCAACAATGTATGATCTGTTTCCCAGCACATCAACTATTATACCTTCTTCCCACTGAAGGTTGGAAACATTCCTGATTAATACTTTTTGTCCCTTCATGAAAACACTGGCTTTCTTTAGTGCTGTTTTATTATACTGCATACCCTGGCCAAGTTTGCTTGTCACTTCTTTATCATCAATAATCTGTGGTTTAAGTTTTGATGGTATTACAGGTAACTTAGTGTTCAGAACTCTACTTTGAAGTAGTTGCGAAGGAGAATACCTAAGATTCGCAACTGGAGATGACCGATAATTTAGAAGATATAAACTGAAGTCTGTTTTCTCATGCTTTGACTTTTGCAACATTGACATAACTATGCCTACTGCTTTTTCCGCGAGTCCATTACTGCGATGATAATAGGGACTCGTAAACTTTACTTCAAACTTCCACAATTTACTGAAGTCAATGAATTCTTGAGAGTTAAATGGGACATTGTCACTTACAAAAATACTTGGTATTCCAAAACGAGCAAAAATTGGCTTCAATGCAGCAATGACAGTAGTTGCTTTTTTATCTCGAATACGCTCAACTTCAATCCATCTTGAGTAATAATCTATTAACACTAAATAACTTTGATTGTCGAAATCGGCTATGTCTGCTGATACCTTGTAAAAAGGCATGTCAAAAACTTCATGAGGTTGAAGGGGCTCTTTCAATTTTGCTCGCATAAACTTAGCGCAAGTAGCACAGCTGTCAATAAGATTTTTCAAATCTGAAACTAATCCAGGCCAGTAAACAAGTTCTTGAGCTTTCTTCTTTAACTTGTTGAATCCCAAGTGAGTTTCATGGAGTGTCTGTAAAGTATATCTTTGCATAGATTGTGGCACTATCAACCTTTCGTTAAAATACACTAGTCCATCTTGAACTGTTAGGTCATTTCGTATTCTAAAATAATGCATTAGTTCATGGTTATTCGGCGAAACTTTGCTGGGCCAACCTTCTTGATAAAACTGCATAACTTTGTATAAGGATTCGTCTTCATTTGTAGATTTTATGTACTGATCTATTGTTTTGTTAGGTATTTTACGGGCAGGTGAACTTCTTGGAACAGCCCCTTCCTTAACTTTCAGTTTCAGTACTTCAGGAAAACAACCTTGGTTTACAAATACATCTTTATTCTCTTCAACCAGCGTTTGTACGTCTGGTATTTTGCTTACTGCATCAATAGATATTCTCTTGATGAGGCCCATTGCAATTGATGAATTAAGTCCTATTATTGGCGTCGCCTTTTCAGAATCAACCACAATAAATGTGATGTTGTACAATTTAGAAGCCACTGTAACTGGCAGTGTTACTTCCCCCACTGTGTTTATTTTGAACCCACAAAAAGCCTCAAGCTTGGTTGTTGATGGTTGAACCTCAAAACACTTAGGTAGAGATAAGCTATCAAGATCTTTGGTGGAAAGAGTATTAACATCTGCACCAGTGTCAATCTTAAATACAATCTTCTTTGCATTTATATTTAATGTTACTGACCAGTGACTTGCTTTGATCCTGTTAACATTGACTATAGCCCCCACTTCATCGTTAAGCATCCACTCTGACTGTGTTTCATCAATTCGAGCAGTAGATTCTAATTCATGGCCATTGAAAATTTTTGTCTTGCATACTTTAGCAAAGTGATTGGGTTTTTGACATTTTAAGCATACTTTATTTTGTGCAGGACAAGGTTGGCCTTTGTGAAAATATCCACATCTTGAACATCCTGCACCCTCATTATCATAAGCTCTAGGCCTGATCATTGAGGAATTACGATTTGTCGCTTGGCTGTAATTTTGCTTATTCGTCTGTGGTTTTGGAGTCTTGTTAATAGTAACGTCATCAATATAGGTTGGCTGATCATTTTTCATCAATTGCTTTAAGTTTTCTTCTGCTGTTTCTACGCATCTGCAGTAATCAATTACTTTTTCTAGAGGAACATTGTCTCTTAGAAGGCGTTCTTTAACGCTCACAGAGGAAATTCCAAATATGATTTGGGACCGTAGGAGTTTATCTTCTTGATCTCTAAATTCGCAAGGGCTTACAAGTGACTTTAAATCAATCAAATATTTATCAAAACTTTCCCCATCTCTCTGTTTACGAGTTAAGAAACGATGTATTGCCATAGTCTCGTTCTTTTTAGGAATACAATGTTTTTCCAACGTGATTAAGATACTTAAGACTGTTTCATCCTCATTTTCTGCATCTCTCTTAAGTGTGCTGTAAAGCTTTAAAGCTTCAGCCCCTAAAAGGTTCTTCAGTCTTGCAACTTGTACTTTGTTTGACTTTTTGTCTGTTTCAGTTGCTTCAAAGTATATTAATATTTCTTCTTTAAACTTCTTATAATTGGATGCAATATTACCATTAACAACATTCAACTCTTCAGGCTTATTAAAATCCATATTCATCTTTCTTTTCTCCCTTATTTACTCATTATTCTTGACTGCGCCATGTTTAATAGACAAAAGTATCTTTATTACTGAACTCAATCTGTGTACAACTTGTAAATAATTCAAATGTAAACAATAACAATAAAAACATAATATGACATATTATGATTATACACAGATCAAGGAATACTTTTAACCAAACACACCTAGTTCTATTTAAATAGGCTATTTTTAAATGTGCTATTTTTATGGAGGCATTTGAGTGTAAATCCAATCAGGTTAATGGAAATTCGCTTAGTCTGCAGGTTTGCTGCGGGGGGGTATTTGAATTGAAAATTTGTCACATGTCTTTTATTTTTTAAAGAATTATTTATGTGTATTAAATATAAAACAAACTTCGAAAGGCACTCTAAAAGACTTGGGGATGAGTAACGTTAAGATACATCAAGGGTCAGTAAGGAATTACGGAATACGTTTTCTTCAGTAGTTAGGCAAAGATTTTGCATGCTGAGAAAAATGTTTCTCCTTAACAGGCTCACTACCTACCTGCCTTTATGGTCGTTCACTGGTTATAACCAAAGTCGTGATCCAGTAAATTACTGACTGTTTAAATAATTGTTGGTTTGGAGTATGACCTTAAAATTAGTACAGAGTTGTACCTTAACATCTTTACTGTTAATTACATCATATATTACAGTTTTCATCAATAATCAAAGAACCATGGCAAAATACTACCAACTTAGTTTGTACGAGACACTATAGTGGGAAGCTTGAAGATGAACTGGTTGGGTGTTACAAAAGGATGATTGACACTTTCTTGTTGAACCAGTGACAGAGTAACAATCTGGTCCCTATGACCTGTAATGTAAAATATGTTTGTGATAGACTATGCAATTAAAAAAGATATACAATTTTGTTTATACACAATGGTCATCATTCCAGTGAATGTATTAACAGGTTCACTACCAGCCGACATACCACTCTGTGTGTGTAGTCTCCCAACACTTGGTATTGAATGTGTTTGGGTTAGGCCCGGTTCACACTAGCGACATACCTAGCCGACTAGGTTTAAGCCCGACTGGGTAGTGGACCACAGGATCAAATGGAGTAGTTCACACGAGCGTAGGACGCTGACTAGCTAGCCGTGTTCGAGTTTGGTGTCCCAAAACATAGTCGGGCCCCACTTCCCAGTCACTCGTTGCAGCTACCCAGTCTAGCGGCGTAGCAGTACACGTAGCCTTATGGGAGCGTTCACACGAGCGATCGGGTAGTCGCGCTGCAGCTCGCATTCTTCCCTTTGTTCTCATTGTGCACCAGTTATGGATCCGAGTGGTTTTGATATTGATATTTTCATTTAGTCCGTGGACATCTCGCTCCTGTGAACTGGTCTTGTGGTACGCTAACCAGTCGGGCTTACCTAGTCACAGCCTAGTCGGATAGGTATGTCGCTCGTGTGAACCGGGCCATAGGCAAAGCTGAAGTTAAACGTGCTCTGAAGCACAAAAAAGCCCACAATGTGAATAAAGCACTTGAAGGTGCGTCCCTGCTCAATCAAGGAATCATCATTAACGATTGGTTCAAATAATAATAAATTTGTTGGAAACACATTTGATTCAAGTCGTTAAACATTATTTTTTTTTTTTGTAACAAACTAATTTGTATACATCTTGTTTGTTTCAGACATTTGTCCACACATCACAATTTGCAGCTTGAAGATTTTGTGGAAAGCTTGAAAAGTTTTGCATTTTGTCAACAGCGATTTGGTAAATAGTGTAAAAACAGTCAGAGGCGATAAAATAATGAGGGCTCTAGTTTTAGTTTAAATTATAAATAGTATATCAACAACAAAAAATGGTGGGAGATGGTTTTTTGGGTTAAGTTCACTGTATATTATGTACAATCTAACATATCCAATTCAACTTAAACAAGGCGGATTTTATTTAGGATAAAAACATTGATACTTTATTATTTTTTTACTGTAAAAAGATTATTTTATGTAAATTGTAACTTATACATTCAATTGAAGTGTGTATAGTATGATTTTATATTTAGAATATTCATTTGTTTCAATAGCATAATTTTAAAACATGTATGAAGTGTTGTTTTATATGAATTTCAAAAATTAATATCCAGAGAAACTATATGTAACCCGTTTGGCGATTTTACTTGAATACCCAATGGGTGCATAAATATTGATAGAAACTTCCATTATTATTTATCATAGTTTTATTGTTGATTTTGTTATATTAATTGCTCTACTAGATACTCAATCCTATGTCTGCGTACAAATGCAAATTTTCTTGGAAAACAATCAATGCCAAAGTTTACTAATTTACATTATTCTACAAGTTGGTAGGCCTAAGTCAATCTGTGGTGAATTTGATTTTGTCGTGTTGGTAGTGTCCTGAACCTCAACAGTCTTTTAGTGCCACACTATTGATATTGAAAACCTTTTAGATTGATTTTTGGTTCTTTAATGACTACTTCTAAATTCTGATTACTTATAAACATTGTATTAAGTATCATCTAGTTAAGTTGTAATGATTCTAATAGATTTCCCTCAACATTCAGAACAAATGCTAACTAACTAATAATTTTGTATACACTAAGACAAAGGAAAAAAGGTATTTGTGTTTAGTAAACACTAAGTTGAAAGGTATCAAAATATTTCTCTCTGACGAAAGAGCAAACATAATCCCACAAATTAAAGTCTACAGAGAGGCAAAAACATGTTAAATTGTTTAGTTATAATTTTAATGAATTTGTCTTGTAAAAAATGAGATTGTTACTGCAACATTGAAGGTGTCTAAAAACAAAAATACCACTGTATTTTCTATGAAATTGTACAATATTAATGTAATTAAATTAAATTTATATTTTATTTTGTAAATATTTGTTAATATTTATGTGTCAAAAGTGCTACAAGATGATGTATCGTGGATTGATAAAAGTTTGTTTTGTTAAGCAAAAATAAATATGAAGAGAGCACTCAGTAATTAAAAGTATTTGTAATTTATTTCTCCTGAATACATCTATACTATTCTAAAACACACTAACACTACAGTTTCTATAATTAGTTTTAAGGTATATTTTTACCTGGCGAAAATAATTTTATGTATTAGAATAGGACCAGTTATGGGTTTAAATGGTGACTTAGGTATTGTAGCAAGTGACGTGTACACAGTATCTGAAGCGCAGTTAATCTATGATATGATGTGTTGAAATAACAACAAAATCAATATTTGTGTAACTAGTGGGAAAAGTGGCACTTTGCTGGTTGCTGCACACAAGAGAAATGTTAAAGCACGACCCGTGGGCAAGTGTGGAAAGTTTCTTGAGTGCAGCAAAGGCAGTTTGCTTTCGTGTTACACATCATATTTTTCCTACAATCAGTTACTATACAGTTACTACAAATCATATAAATAATTAGTCTTTCAATCAGTGTAAACAAGTTTTTAGGTTAGGTTAAATCCAAACATGGAACGAAATGGGAAACGCTGCACCAGCTGATCGTAGTCGTAATATCTTTTAGTGTTGCCAACCTATTTCCAAGCGTACATGGATTACGTGCATATTAAAAGAACACTGTTTTGTGTTGTTTGGTTGAAATACTGGTGTGTGCCAAAGTAAGGCTTTCTGTACTATAATCTGTGCAAGGAAGCCCACTTTGTCACTGTAGGAAAACACATTTTCATACACATTTAAAAGTTCAACTACCGGGGTCCTCCCCCGGAAAAATTTGTAATTTTCAAAGCAGTTTGGTGACTTTCTAAAGCCATTTTTAACACTAAACCGTGCCCAATTGTCCATAAACTCCCATTTCACCTGTTGTTTCTCATGAGCAAATAGACAATTTAAAATTAAACTATGAGGATTGCATTAATGAATTTAAAAACACGCCGTAGACTACGGCCATATCCTCCTAAAAGCCGTTTGGTGACTTATACAGCCAGTTTTAACGTCTAGAACTGTGTGCAAAACCTCCCATTTCCCCGTTTATTTGTCATGAATAAGTAGACATTTTTAAAACTAACTATGACGATCGCATTCATTCATAAATCTCAAAAAGTATTGTAGGCTACGGCCGTATCCTCACAAAAGCTGTTTACTGACTTTTTAAAGCCATTATTAATGTCTATATCTGTGTCCAACTGTCCAAAAACCTCCCGTTTCACCTGTTATTTGTCTTTGTCATGAGCAAGTAGACATTTAAAAAATCAAACTATGACGAACTTGCATTCATGAATTTCAAAACATAGGCCTACTGTAGACTACGAAGCCATATCTCCCAAAAGCCGTTTGGTGACTTTATATAAAGCCATTTCTAACGGTTAGAACTGTGCCCAATTGTCCTAAAACCTTCCATTTCACCTGTTATATACCATGCAAGCAAGTAGATACTGTTCAATACTGTTAATGCTGTTTTTTTAACCTTACATTTTTCTCCATTTCTTAGATCTGTCACATGTATAGTATCGAATTCAATGGCGTTTGAACACTAATATTTAAACCCACAATCTTACATTTTTACAAGCAGTTTTTTATATAAACAATTTGTTTTTGGCCTTCTGCTCGCTTCATTTGACAATAAACAGTTCAAGGTTCAAGTATCAACTTCCAAAAAGTATCAACTAACCTAAAAGAACTATAACCGATACTGACGACAGATACAGCAAACGAGGAGAAAAAGGTTAACATAGGCCTACATCTAAATGTTCTAATGTAGTATCATCCACTGCCGACTGACGGTGACGGAACTTACTGAAATGAAAGTATCTGACTAAATCACTGAAACGCGAGAAGAAGACATTCAAGAAGACAAGCGTCTAGGCATCCAGTGCAACTCGAAGATCGTGGATCGGAACACCCCTCCACCACCGCACCATGTCGTACGCTTCCGAATCACACAGCGAAGCGAGCACCTTGCTTGCTGGCAGCGATCGATCGGGTAAACACGCATTCTGTATGATTTTTGAAATTCCTTTTAAAATTTAGGATGGGGGACAAAACTGACTTTTCAAATATTGGGGGGGACGCTTCCCCCATGTCCCCTATGGCGGCGACGCCCGTGCACTCCACATAGTTGACTGAATTTTTATGTTTTAAGTTTGTGGGTAACAAAAACTGTTTTATAGATCCTACCTTTTAACTAGCGGCATTTTCAACTGCAGGACATTTTTAATTTTAAATATCGGGACAATAACACTTCTGCTGTGACGGGACAGCCATTGAGGAAGCGAAATTGTCTACAAGAGAAATTGCACGTTTGACGTTAGAGACAGGACCCATCCTTAATTTCTTCAATAGCCAGTTCTAAGAGATTGAGGTCTCAAAAACTGTGTTTCCCATCATATCGAGCCCTAGATATAATAAAAGCTACAAGGAAATGTAAACAATTGACATTGCTTATAAATCATCGAGTCATATATTTTGAATCTTGTTATAAAACACGTTTATCTTCTTATGTACATACATGTACAACAAATACAATAAAATAATTTATCTTCCAACAAGAAATAAAAAAAATTAAGTATTATCTGAGTATACATAAACCTCATCATAACTTAATGTTAGTAATTTGAACACATTATTAAGTTTCAATTTCACACGAAGTAAGATTATGGTGATTGAAAAGACAATAACAATTAAAATTGAAGCAAATATCCTTGTTATATAGAATAATACATTGTTATGGGTTGAATATGAGCTAGCGTTTTTTTTATTTGTAATATATAAACTGTGATCAACACGTCTCCTTGGCCCATTTCTATTCTTAGTTGTAATTAATGACTTGCCTGTTAATGTAAATTGTAATTCTATAATTTTTGCTGATGATTCAACTTTTTTCTGCAGTAGACCTAATCACAGTTTAGATAATCTTAATGTTTATATGTCCAACTGTCTCATTGAATGTAACGATTGGTTCAAAAGTAGCGGTTTCCTATTGAATAATAGTAAGACTCAATCTATTTTATTTAGTTTAAGTAACCATGATTTAAACTTTCCTCAACTCTGTGATAATGTTAAATTATTGGGTATATACCTGGATTCTAAATTAGGCTGGAGTGTGCACATTGACCATGTTTGTAGTAGGCTCTCAAGAGTTATTTACTTACTCCGCAAGCTTAAAAAATTAATCCCTAGACACTACCTACGGATGGCCTACTTTGCCTTCTTTAATAGTATTTTAAGCTACGGTATTTTGCTGTGGGGCTGTGGTCATGATGTTAGCAGAATCTTGCTCCTACAAAAGAAGGCTTTAAGAATCATTACTTTTTCTAAGTACAGAGCCCATTGCAAACCCTTGTTTATTCAGGAAAAAATACTCACTGTTTTTAATTTATTTATTTATGTGTGTCTTGTTTATGTAAAAGTTAATATTAATGCTGTAGCCTTGAGATCACATTCACATAGTTATTTTACTAGACATAGGAATAATTTAGAGTTACCTTTAGTCAGGCTAACAAAGTCACAAGAGTCTTTTTCTTATATAGGGTTAAAAATGTTTAATCGTTTGCCAGCTGAGGCACATTGTGTTGATCTTAAGTTATTTAAAAGTAAACTTTTTTGCTGGTTATTAAATCACCCTTTTTATAGTTTAAGTGAATTTTTCATGTCTGACATTGATATTAGTTTTTAGTTTCTGACTGATGTAGGCCTTAAATCTGTGTAACTTACTTTGTTGTTTAAATTATTTAAAGTAGCCTAGTTATTGAATGTTATAGGCCCTAATGCTAACCACTGGACATTTCATATTGACCTCAACTATACAAAATGTTTTTTTGTAATTTGTTGTAATAAATTCTTGATTCTTGATTCTTGTGAATGAATAAAAATCAAGTTTATTCTCAATAAAATAAAGTATTAAACTTCATGATGGTTATTTAACACATTTCAATACGTTTTTTGAACTTGGTGTAGTTGAATGATTACAATATGACCTTTGGTATTACAAAGAAGTACCAAACAAAACGTGAATAAATTAATGAATAAAAAAAAAAACTAAATCTAAAATGGTATTAGACTTCTATGTTATTATTTGTGTTTGATTACCAATATTCACCTCTTCAGAAAAAAACCTTTCTTGATTTATTTGTTACAATGCAGTCCCATCAATCCAAAGATAACTGGAACAAAACCCTTTTTATATTTACAAATCTTTGGATTACACGGAGATTTGTCATTATATATTGGTTTTACAAGCATATGATGTGTCAAACACGAAAAGTAATACATTTTGTATTCAAAGAGTAAAAATAAACTGCACTTTAGCGTAACTGTGATCAAAGGTAAACAATAAATTATGATGGGCAGTATCAGTATCCATGTAGTAAATTAGTAAAAAATGTTTCTAAAAAAAACTTGTTTTCTTCACATTTCTCAGTTCAGAAATGTTTTAGGCCTACGAAGTATTTTTTCAGAATGGGCGTTTTGAATTTGGCGGATTTTGGATTATCAGGACTGTACTGTATTTGTGTTTTAGTTGGAGATAAAAGGCTAGATTTACTGAATAATCTTGTCAAATATGACCAGAAAAACAAAAATTGCACAACAGAAACTATACATATGTTTACATATTTCCATGAACATGATTGAATCCCCAGATGATTCTTCTACCAGAAGGTGTAAACGGACATGGTGACATCAGCACAGATAACCTGTTTGATCGGGGACGGACTCGAGGCGGCCATTTCAAACCCTTGCTCGCCAGAACACTGGAGGAGCTTGTTGCTGAGATCCTTGATATCCCAAACCTGGAAGAAATTGAATCAACTATACGTTAACGTACCATTTCATCATGCAGCTTCAACGTCACTGAGCTTTCGAACAAATTATTCTACCGTATCAATTTACACTTACACAATCATTATTATTGTCCTATGCTATGCAACATGGTAAATTGCTTTTAGTTAATTCTGAGCCTAGCTTAGTGTAATCTTCAAGAACACTTTTTGCTTTTTGTTACCTCCAACATTAGTGGTTTTAAAAAATTTTAACAATAACCCGTTACAAAAATTGGCCCGAATATAAATATATAAGGAATTAACCCTCTAGAAAGGTCTTTATTGTCAATATAAAGATAGGCCTACAAAATATATCTAGGGCAAAATTATCATACAAATCATCCAGTTCGTGAATTTCAAACGTGTTTACAAAGACGAACTATTAAACAGGTCATGTTCAGTGATAACAAGATAAACGGTATCAGCAATCTGACACATACTTATTTCTCCCATCTCCTTGTAAAACACCCTTATCATAGCACATGGGTAAGCGTTGAGAGTATCTTTGATAATTTATGGGGAAAATCACAGAAGTTTCAAAGCTTTTAAACCGTAATTTAACAGCAATAGGGGTTGAACAATTTAGTTTTATAGTTAAAAGGACTATAACATGCACAATTTTGATGAAAATTGGTAATTATTATTTTAAAATCAGAATTTTTGTTAGCCTATTCAATTTTTATGGGGAAAATAATCAAAGTTGCAATAGCTTTTGAACTGTAATTTTCACAGCAATAGGGTTACTAGTACTACTTAGTTTTGAGTCAAAAGGACTTTAACACCCGTGTGTGTTTCCTAGTCCACCATCGGGCGCCTCCCCAGGTGGCGGATAGGGGAAAGCCTGCTGGGTAGTAGGTACCGGGTTTACCCGGGGCGGACCAAAACTAGGACTGCTGCCTTGCAGTTTAGAGTTGGATCTCTAAAGGCTAGAGGAGAAAACCTTGATAAAAAACCTGGTCCTCCAAGTTGGGGGTTATGCGGTAGGCCAGCTCCCTGCCCATGTGAAAAGCAGATTGCTACAAAACCCAGCAGTGAAAAGCCTCGGATGTTTGACGGACTTAACAGGATACGAAACCGGCGACGAAAATGGACATTGACTTTCGGAATATGGAATATACAAGGCCTTGGAACCAAACAAAAGGAAGTTTTGTGGGAGCTAACCAGACTGAATATAGATGTTGATATTTTGCCAGAGACTAGGAAGAAAGGGACAGGAAGTGAAAAGTTAGGAGAATTTTCCCATTTTTACAGTGGTGTGGACAAGAGCTGTAGAGCAAAAGCAGGAGTGGCATTATTGATAAGAAAGAAGTTGGTAAGGCATATTGAGTCTTGGGAGGCGATAAATGAACGAATAATGACACTGCGTCTTAGAGTAAGAGGGCATAAGGATGTGATAGTTGGAGTTTATGCACCTAACGATGATGCAAATGTAGGAGTGAAAGAGACTTTTTATGAAACCCTTACCTCGGTCATTGAAGGGATACCGCAGGATTGTGAAGTGGTCTTAGCAGGGGACTTTAATGGAAGAGTTGGAAAAGATCAAAACAGTGAAATAGTGGGGCCGCATGGAGAGGACATAATAAATGACAATGGTGAAAGATTGAGGGATTTAGTTGGTCAGTTTGATCTGAAGATACCGAATGGGGTTTTCAAGCATAAGGAAATACATAAATATACGTGGCACCAGGATACGAGAGGGTTAAAGTAAATCATAGATTATTTAATTGTCAAGCAGACAGCAAAACTGAAAATTCAGGATGTTCGAGTGAAAAGGGGAGCTGAGTGCGGAAGTGATCATTGGTTGTTGGAAGCTAAGGTGTATATCCCCTTCAATGACAGAGGGGTGAAACATGATGAGGGATTGGGACAGAGAGAAGGCTTACACTTAGATTTGTTAAGTTTTAACTTGGATAGTTTGGATAACTACAGTACTAGGATGTTGTATAAAAGGAGATTACAGGAAAAATTGGTGGTAGAAGAGAGATCAATTGAGGAAGAATATGAGCACATTAAGTCAGCTATCCAGGAAGCGGCATCGGAAGCTTTGGGGATGAAGGAGAGAGTTGAGAAACCCCAGTGGTGGAATCAGGAGGTGGTAGAGTTGGTTAAAGAAAAGAAGGAGGCTTACCTGAAATATTTAAATGATGGAAGTGACAGGAACAAAGAAAGGTATAGAAGATTGACAAGAGATGTTAAATACATTGTTAGACAGAGTAAAGAAGAGAGCTGGAGAAGAGGTGTGAGTACATTGAGAGTATGTTGGGAGGATGTAAGAGTCATGAGGCTTGGAGAACATTGAGAATAATGAAAACATCAAAAAGAGAGAGGTTTAAGATTGATAGCATAACATTGAAGGACTGGAAGGAGTATTTTGGGAAGTTATTACAAGAGGACAGAGCTGAGTTCATGCATCACGAGGGGCCAGGGAATGCCATGCAGGATAGGGTGGAAATAAGCATGCAGAATATGGAGGCAGCAGTGAGAGCAATAAAGATAAGGAAGTCCCCAGGATTTGGATCTGTGTATCCTGAGTTAGTGAATTTCGGGCCACCAGAATTGATTGCAATGTTAAGAGTATTATTTGAAAGATGTCTCAATGGAGAAGATATTCCCGGAGAGTGGAGGAGTTGTTACATCACACCTATTCATAAGAAGGGAAATAAGGAGGACCCCAAGAATTATAGAGGTTTGGCAGTAATACCTTTCATTGGTCGTTTGTACTCAAAGATTTTAAAAGATATTTTGAAAAAGAGACTGCAAATTTACAACAAGAAGAACAAGCAGGATTTCGAGCAGGACGATCAACGGTGGATAATATTTTTGTATTGAAGCATTTGGTGGAAAGAAGATGTATGTATGGCAAAGAGACGCATGTGGCATTTTTAGATTTAGAAAAGGCTTATGACAATGTCCCTATTGAAGCTTTATGGGGGCAGCTGAAGAAGATGAATATTAGTCCTGTCTTGATCCTTGCCGTACAAAATTTGTACAAGGAGAATACAGCTCGAGTTCGGTTAGGAAATGAGCTAAGTGATATATTTCGAGTCATGAATGGCCTGAGGCAAGGGTGTGGTTTATCGCCAACGCTGTTTAAACTTTATCTTATTGGCATTTTAAGAAATTGGCAGAGGAGGTGTGAGCCTATGGGAGTACAACTAGAAGAAAGTCGTTTGTTCACCTTGTATTTTAATTTATTTGATAGAGAGGACTTGAGCTACATGGTCAGGAAATTGAAAGAAGAATACGAGTTAAATGGACTGGTAATGAATGTGGGGAAGTTTGAGTATCTGGTGGTTGGGAGCGACATAGTGGAGAACCTGCCTTTAGAAGATGGAGAAGTCAAGGGGGTCAGAAGAGCTAAATATTTAGGAGTGATATTTGACAAGTCTGGAAGCAGTGGTGTGGAAGTTGAGGAGAGGATTCAGAAGGGAAGGAAAGTGACAAGGGCTTTTAATTCTGTTTGGTGGGATAGGGGTGTGTCAACAGGGTGTCTACTACATTCTGGATAAAAAATTCATGGACAATTCCCGTACATTTAAGGACTTTTGTCGGTGTGATAACAGAATAATATTCCTGATTTGTCAAACTGTATTAATCTTGTTCTTCATTGTAGTTGTTCCAGAGAGAAAAGTAAATAATAATAGACAAGAATTAAATTTCAAAATAGAAACTTATTGAAAGTAAACAAACATATACTTTAGGTACAGCTTTAATAGTGTAACAGAAAAACGCAATCATTGTCTCCTGCAATAGCGACAAAATCCTAAATATCTCCATCGGTCACGGAAACATCATAACATAGCTTATCCGATCCAGGCGGATTAATTTGGCATTATTCGCCCTGGCACAACGTTAGGTTCTCGACTACTTTTGAAAAAAATTTGTAATGCATAATGAATGAATATATTGTAACTCGGTTCTAGGTACAAAATCGGTATGGTAAGCGGCTACCAGTAAGCACAGAGTAAGATTATTGTCTTTTCATCTGCAAAGTTAATATTGACACATAACGATCATTAGTTAATCTTAGGCTCAATTACATTTTCTTAGTATATTTTACAGCTCTTTCAAAGAGTCAAAATACCCAGGCCTAGGCCTAATTATTTAGGAGGGCCTATATAAACTGAGTAACAAACAATGAGGTTATAATATCAGCAAAGTCACTACAATATCATCATTCTAGTTCATAAGATTTAGAATGCTTAAAGCATACAACGCAATAAATTAATAAATATGGGAAATAAAAAAAATTTAAACCTGAACGCCAACAATGTACAAAGATACAGAAAATGCAATGAAATAATTTGAAACCAAGTAGGCCTACGTAGTGATAAAAAATTAATGCAATCAACAATGCTTGTGGTTTTGTCAATTGAAAGATAAAATATCCATAACAAAGGGGTTTAACTTAACAAAATAAGACTGTAGATTAGTTACATGTTTTATATGAAACCGAAACCATAAACAGTTTTATGGCACTAGGCAATGGCCAGCGGCAAATTGAATGTTCAAGACGAAAATACAAGTAAGAAGTGAAATTTAACAGCCATTATAAAACCATTATTTCCATGATAAAATATGTTTCTAATATATGGGATATATGGGATCTAATAATGATTACTCTAGTAATAAATAAAGAAGTTGTAAAGAAATAAAAGTGATAACACTTTTATGAGCTAAGCTACTACTGAGTCAACAGTTCTTGGAAGTACTTGATTGTCGTGATAAAATATTAATGGGTTTGAGACTGCTAATGGGGTTTTTATTGCATAATTACTCTAGTAATAAATTATGAAATTGTAAACAAACATCTGATAAACCTTTTATGTGCTCCTAACCAACTAGCGATTGATAAAATTATGGCCCATTAAAAATCTAAGGACATAGTCTGGTATTTAAGGACAATTCCCATACATTTCATGGCCAGTAAAAAATTAAGTACAATTCCCGGTTTTCCCGGATTTCCCGGTTGGTAGACACCCTGGTCAAAGAAAACAAAGAAGAGGATTTATAAGTCTATGGTGCAGACTGTGGTATTGTATGGCTTGGAAGTCTGGGAGTTGAAACAAAGGAACACTGGAAAGTTGTTGGCTACGGAGATGGATGTACTCAGGAGGAGTTGTAGGAAGACAAGATTGGACAGGGTGAGGAACGAAGATATTAGAAGAGAAATGGAAGTGGAAGGAGACATAATAGATGAGGTTCAAAGAAAACAGTTGGTCTGGTTCGGCCATATAAATCGGATGGAGGAGGGTCGGCTCCCACGGCAGGTTATGAACTGGGTTCCACCTTGGAGGAAAAAGAGAGGACGACCCAGGCGCAGTTGGCGGATGGGGATTCAGGAGGCAATGGCGACGAGAGGCCTTGAGATCGGCGACTGTGCCGATAAGACAGCTTTGGAAGCTGGGAGCGGAGAGACGGCGCGAGCTGTAGAGATCCGCAACAAGTAACAAGTAAGTAAGGACTTTAACATACTACATTTTAATCAAATTGTTCAGGGGCCATTTTTGGGAAAATTTAATATTTTCTTGAATGTGTTTTGTTTTCATGTGTTTCTAGGTTGCGTCCCCATCTCAATGATTGATAATTGATAAAAGGTTAGCAAACGTAAATTTGAAGTGTACTGTAAACTATAAATGTTGATGATATGTCTATCTGCAAATAAATAAGGCGAAGGAGTTAATTTCAGTTAAAGTTTGCTTTACATAGTTATTTTATAGACCCACTTAGCTGTTTCTTAGGATTTAATTTCCCTTGCTATTCCATACGACTTGACGCTCAACAATTAATTAGTAAATATTTAATGTTTGGGGTTATTCAGGCAACATTAAATTCACTGACAGTTTTTACTTTCTCCCCCTATACCATAGTATATGGAGAAAGTATTGTTTTCGTCAAAATTTTCGAGTTTGAGTTTTGAGTGGATATATTCGTTTTGGGTCCCCCTGGACCCAAAAAAGTGGTTTTCGAAGTGATGTCTGTGTGTGTGTGTGCGTGTGTGTGTGTCTGTGTGTCTGGATGTGTACAGAGCTAGAGACCACACCTGTGGTCCAATTTCGATGAAATTTGGTATGTATGTTCTAACCCGTGGTATCTCCAGGGGTTTTTTTCATTTTTTTGAAATTTTGATTTTTAATGGGGATTTTCCCATAAAAAACAGGAAAAATCGGATTTTCTCAAAAATGGCCCGAACGATTTTGATAAAAATTTAGTATGTTGTAGCCCTTTAAATTCTGAACAAAATGGTACAAATCCCATTTCTGTAAAAATTACGGTTCAAAAGTTATATGGTAAATTATGTTATTTTTCCATAAAAACCCCATAAAATAACAAAAAATAGGATTTTATACAAAAATCGGGTTTTGGTTTAACATAGTATGTTATGGTCCTTACAATTTTGATAGTTTTTTTACTTTTAGAAAATGTTTATTTCTAATGGTGATTTTCCCATAAAACCTCATAAAATAACGGAAAAATAGGATTTTCCCAAAAATGGCCCAAACGATTTTGATAAAAATTTAGTATGTTATAGTCCTTTATATTCTGAACAAAATGGTACAAATCCCATTTCTGTAAAAATTACGGTTCAAAAGTAATTGTAAATTATAATATTTTCCCATAAAAAAACAAAAAATCAGATTTTTTCCAAAATTGGCCCGATCGATTTTGATAAAAATTTTGTATGTTATAGTCCTTTAAATTCTGAAGAAAATTATACAAATCCCATTTCCGTATATTTACTCTCACCGCTTACACATGATAAAGGTTGTTGACAAACTTATGGGAGAAAGTATGTGTCAGAATGCTGATACCGTTTATTTCATTATCTTGTTGACCTACAACTCATTGGGCCTAAGCATCAAACATTCTAAAAGTCTTGAGTGCAACTTACTTCCTGATAATATACTGGGCAGCCTGGACTTCCCCCTCTCTGCAGCAGCCAAACGACTACGAATCTGGGTTCGATAACACTCAATCGTCGGACAAATGAGTAAAAGCTGAACTCCACACAGTAGACTATCTCTCTATTGTGTATGTCCATCACATTCATACAGTTGAACATACAATAGAGCAAGTAGGATCCCACCAACTGCATCTGCTCAGAGTTTGTGTATTCTCCAATCTCTTTCACTGCAAGAAGCTTGCCCGATGTATAACCGTAGAACTTGATGATACCGGGATGAGAGGTAAACGTAACAATTATATTTTGTGTACAACCGCACCACACAACGACTCCGTCAAAAGTGATATTAGTTTCTTTGAACTTAAGCTTTTTAAAATCATAAACAAAAATTTGTGAATGTAAAACTCTTGGAACATCGATAAAGACCATACGAATTAAGCCTTTGTTGTCATCGATTCTAAAAATGTTGGTAAAAGCTATTTCATAGCCTTCAAACAAGCTTTTCCACATAGATTCGTATTTCACTTTTCCACCGGTGTTTATTTCCCAAATGTGCATTGTCAAATCTGTGAGAGGATTTGGTATCCTTTTATATCCGACAATCATACTTCCAAACTGACAGTAGCGAAAATCATCGTCTTCATTGATTAAATTGATATCCGTTTTGTCTGTGACTTCCCATAAAGTCGGTGGTAGAGGTTTGTCCTCCTCTAATATACATCTTGATTTTGCTTTGATTGAGGTCCCACTAGACCGCAAGTCATAAATAGACAAAACATTCCATTGAGTCACCAGAACGTACCTCTCTGCTAGGAAAATGTTGATTATGGCACAGTCTCCAAATAAAGCTATTGTTGAGTGAAGTATAGGGTCATTGTGTATGTTCCAAATTTCCAATTCGGTCGTAGTCCTTACAAACAGCCAATGGGTTCCTTCAAAATCGATTTTCACTTCTGCCGAGATTACTCCTACATAAGATCTAAAATCAGAAATCAAGAAATTTTCTCCTTTCCAGTTATTTATTAAATGTGTTTGCCTCATGTAACGGATGCGCCACTCACAAAGTGGCTGCAGACGCTCTTCGTTTTCCAAGGGCATTGTAAAAACTGGCTTAACCAGAGATTGAACATTTTCTAAATAATTTGAAATGCTTTTTATACAAAATCTTTTCCAGAACACATCAGCATTAAACCTTTCTCTCCATGCTAAACTGACAGCGCTGCAAGATAGCAAGTCCTTCACGGAGAAGTAGCCTACGATCAACTCAAGTACTTCTTCTGGTAATATCGTCAATGCCATCTTCTAGGTACCTTCTGACCTGGAAAGTAATTTTACATTAGCATCAAAACTCACTTACAGTAAAAAGCAAACTCATTAACTCTTATAGTTTGTTTTAGAAACTGATTTAGAATTATTGAAAGAATCAGAGTATATATTATTTGGATATGCAGTTAATATAGTGGTTGTACACTAGAATAAATGAGGAATTCATGGCTAGTTCAGGATTTGTGAGGGTGTCAATAAAAATGATGTGTATTGGTGCTATTGGGCATAGCAAAAAACTATCAAATGGTTTAAAATTGATGTTTAGCTGCAACCACGAAAAAAATCTATATTTTAGCCTTTTAGATTAGGTAGAGCAAGGCAACAATAGCATTACGGCCTGTTTATTCAGTGTTGCCTTGCCTATTGGCTAAATTTGTTTAGGACTTAATCTGTTTGGCCCCCAAATAAACTGGCCCTGACTGGCTTTATAACTATTGACTACCACTGTCTGTAGTACAAATTTCAAACTACAATTATATAACAAAATGGTGCCAACCAGTTCCATTGCAAGCTATGACATTGTTATGCTTGCAACGAATCTAGTCAGTATAATTTTGTTCACACACATTTGGATTACGATGAAGGAGCCTACTATGTAGGCCTAAACCATGAACCTAAAACAAAAAAAATAATTTTTACTGATATATGTGTTTGTGTATATTTATGTATTTATGAATATAATCAAAATATTACTTGCTTCTTGACTTTTTTTGAGTTTGAAAGAGTGAATCTGTCACTCGTTACTCCTTAGGTACCTTACTGTAAGGTCCAGTGCTCAATTTGATAAAAAAGAGGTGCCGGAACTGTGACTTATTTAATGTGATTAGAACCTATTTATGCCAATATTTTTATCTTTCTAAAAAATAGAGGTACCGGGAACTCCAATCCACCGCGTTCCCCCCCAAATCGAGCACTAGTAAGGCCTACCACACACATTCCGACCCGGCTTGTGGCTAGAACTGTACAGTTTGGCCGGAGTAGTTTTCTGCCCTCACACGCACCCTATGTGCGAACCAGCCTGTGCATACATGCCGCACATTCTAATGTGTAGGATTTATTCTTAACATGACAACTATTAAACATCTTGAGGCAATGGCCGTGATAGTGTGTGCGAATAGGAAAAAGCGTACAAGAAGCATGTGTGGTCGAAGTTATGGCTTGAAGGAAATAAATTGTTTATATGTTAAATTTATTAACCAAACTTCAGTGTTATCCAACAAGATATTGAAGGAACTATTAACAAATGGACAAACCAACTTACCTGAAGTTATAAAAATGGTTAAACACTTTTCATTGCCAATCAAGACACTGTTAAATGAGGCAAGCCATAACGCCTAAAAATAATGGTGACATTGCAATACTTGGATACAGGCAGGACACTGGAAGATCTTAAGTTCTTAGTTCAACCTAACTAGATTTGGTGTCTCGGACTGCGGGATTCGACATACATGTACAGTTCCGCCTTAAGGCCAAGCTACCTTGAGGCAGGACCTCATTGGTTTCCTATCCTGCCGGCCTGCCGTTGATCTGTTTCAAGGAATTGTCTCACACTGGCCGTTCTTTCTTCAGTCTAGGGCTGTACAGTCCTGACCTTGAGACCAAACTGAACACGTGTGGTAGGCCTAAGACGACAACTTAAGCAGAGATTAATTGGATTTATGAGAGGGTGCACTATCTGTTAAACCAATGGTTTTGGGGTACAGTAGGATTACAGTTCTGGAGAGAGCCTAAATAAGGATTAATATTATACAATAGTAGCTCATTGTTTTCATACAATATGATATCGATAGTATTGAATAGTAATATGGTAAGTTGATCTTAGTTGGTTCTGAGCCTAGCTTAGTGTAATCTTCAAGAAAACTTTTTGCTTTCTGTTACCTCCCACATCAGTGGTTGCGGTTTTTAAGCCTTAGGGTCCTTTTAAGAAGACTCTTTCACACTGAGCTGTGGTAGTTTGGTTAATTTGGTTATTTTATTTTATGATTATAACAAACAAGGCAACATTTATTTAGACTTAAAAAAAGTTGATATGATGTTTAATTTGTAAAGGAGACAAATTTAGGTACCTACCCAAATATACCAATTTGTTTGTGTCCTTTTTTCATGAGTTAAGGAATAAGTTTAAGGCAAATGGTAATGGTACTTTGTTTCTCATTTAACGCTCATGTACGCTTAACAAATTTGCACGTGCTCAGTCTTTGGTTTAAAGGCTAATAGGCTATTGGCAAAAGGGTAAGATATAAACTTGAACCAACCTGACCAACTAGGGTTAGCCTACATGTTAACATTAGCGATAAGGTAATAATATCATGAGTATCATAATTCGCTATCAAATCAAATTGATTATAAACAGAGAGAAGTAAGACACAGAGAATAAAAATATACAGGAAACATTCAATGGTACGTACTTAAGTGGTGTCTAAAACTAGTGCTGGTGTCTAGCGCAATGAACCCCCTCCGCCCCCCTTCACCATTATGTAGGCCTTACAACACTCATGGTGGACGAAGAGCTTGTTCCCTGTACAATTGGAATTTCTCCACAATACTCACCGTTCAGGCTCTTCTTTGCTCGTCACAAGTATCTTAAAAAACTTATATTTCTGCAAAGCTGAAACGCACAGGGCTACAGTTCCACAGCGAACCTGCGATATATTATCGGATGAATAACTACAAATAAATATAAATTTATACGGTTCAATGTTTATCGCATCTAATTTAATTTTACCATATAATATAAATATAGGCTGAACAAAAACATTTACAAAGCTGTTATTATTTTATAGGTAGGCCTACCTACCGGTACTTAGTTTAAATTCTTAGATATTTAAGAATAAAAAATGAAAGAAACCATGAATTCTTAAAAAGTGGTGTAAATTCTGACAATCTCGCATATCACCTTTGTGAATAACTTATATCAACTTATATGGGGATGAAGTTGTCAGGACAAGACCCTTTTCTTCATTTCATTCTAGGTCAATTACAATATTATACCCTAGATTGTCGGTCTTTTAGTTTGTATTGTTTGTTTTGTTACTTTTCATAAAAGGTACAGTTCCGTAGAGAACCTGCAATATATAATCGGATGAATAACGTTATATATCGATAATTATCTGATTCAATATATCGTTCATATGTTTTTTTCCACTAATTTATGTAGGTAAACATCAATTGAGTTATGATTTGTTTACGTTTTTATTGATATTTTTTTAAAATTAATATTTAAAAAAATATATAGCCTATATATAGGCTATATTACCAAAAACAAATAGGCTAATATTTATTAATAAAAAAACAAAAAATAACAACAACTACACAGTCCACAAACTATGAAAACGATCTAAAGTTAATGTTTTTGTTATTGTTTTTATTTATCATAGCATATGGTTTAAAATATTCAATGCAATATTAACATCAAATCGGAAACATATTGATAAAACTTATATTGTTACTCATCCAATGATAAGTAATATTGCAGGTTCTCTGCCGAACTGTACCCTTCATAAAATATATATTTTGTTATTGGTTAACTTTTTTAAATATTAATCATTTAATTTATTAAATGCCAATAAATTTAAGCAATTCATCAAAACTCAATCGATGTTTTCATTGGATAAGTTACCAAATATTTGGTAATCAATGTATCGATTAGGATAAAATTGATATTGATCGTTATTCATCAGATACCTAATAAGTTATATCGCAGGTATTGATCGTTATTCATCAGATAATAAGTTATATCGTAAGTTCTATGCGATACATTGGTTACTTAATGGCAGACTGGGTAGGAACTGTACCCGCGCACAGTTGTCCTATAAGCTTGTGAGTTATCCTCTATAGGCCTACCTTAAGTTACTTTTCTGTGTTACAATCTTGAATAACCTAATGATGAATTATCTTACTATGGAAAAATCTATTTAACTATGTAGGCTAGTAGAGTCCAGTAATTTCTGTCTGGTTACTTTTAAAGCAAGATTGGTATCGCTTAACCCTTGATCTGGCGTTGGTCCCTAGGGGACCAGAAAATGTTGAGTTCTCAGTGGCGGTGGTCCGCTAGGGACCAGAACGACATGGTCCGGAACTTTCTATTGTTAAAATACTAAAACAGTTTTAAACCGCAATGAATCTTATACCATTAGAAAGATGAGATTCTGAGGATTCATTTTCATACATAAAACATTATTGAGCGAGTATTATGTAGCGAGAAACATAGTTTGAAAAACTAGAGCGTTCAAAATAGATTTTGGCGGTGGAAAGTTTTGGTCACCTGACTACAAAAACAGCTGTTTTTGGCGATTGTCAATTAAATTGTATACAATATTAGTACATATTCTGAAACTACAATAAGTTCCCTACAATTACCTCTGAATCTATGAGGTTGATTGTAAAAATTTTATTTGTTTTTAAAAATGTCATAAAAATTATGTTTTCGTAAAAAAATCTTCGAAATTTTACATTCCGACGTAAATTTCTTTGAAATTTTAGAATTCAACTACATATAACTATATATTTTCAGAAAGGTCTTTTATTTCGTATTGTACAGTATCATTTTATAAAATTTTGTTGATGCATTCTATTATTTCCTAGGTGACAAAAAAAGTTTTGTAGTTTTAAAAAAAATGAAATGTATATGTAGAATTTATTTTTTTATAATTTTATTTTTATGAGTATTTAAAAAACATTGATATTTCTACGTAGGGAATCATATTTCACACAACCTTTACATTTAGATCAAATGTCTAAAAAAATTATTTTGTAGTTTTCTTGTGGGTTGCTTTTGAAATTTCTAATTTGCATAATCCAAAAATTTGCAAACCTTTTGCTACTACGCCTAAACGCATTGCTAGGAAAAAATTATTTTTATATTATTATATTCTAAATTTATCACTGAAACAGAAAATATGTATATGTGTGTACTTATATTCACAAATAAATGTTCTGTGGCAAAATATATGGTACCACTACAAAAGCACCAAAATATGCCCGCCACTGGTGAATAAAATGACCGCCAGATCTAGGGTTAAATTAGGCCTTAAACTCAACAAATTGATTTAAAAAATATTAATTTGTATCTAGCCTAGCTAGGCCCATGGTGGAAGTAAATTTAGCTAGGCCTACCATGGTAAACATTAACCTAATTCACATTTAAAATTTGGCAATCGATGTCTGATCTTGAAAACCTTAAACTTACTTTATCTTACCATCACATTGGTCAAAACTCATATTATATTCACAGGGTTTTGATATATTGTTCAAAAGTAATATCAAACTTTTATTACTTCCACAATGATATTAAGTTAGTACATCAGCGGACAGTGCCAAATTATTACGCCTAACTTCAATCAAACTGATAAGGTGAAAACAAAAACACTTTACAACAGCCAAGCCAAGACCAAAACTTCGCATTATTTTCAGTTGCAGTTCACAATCAATCACAAACCACAACAAAAACAAACAAACAGACAAGGCCATCAAATCAAACATCTGATCAGATCAGCTGGTTAAATGGATATACTCAGCCATTGACTATAAAAATTGAGCTAACATTGAATGCACATATTGTGTAGCGTTGATTATTGATTTCCAAAATCGATGGTCACATTTTTAGCAACAGCCAATATTGACTGTAACATTGTAGCATTTTATATTTTGTATTTTTTGTCACTCTTTAAAAACAAATTCAAGTTAGTATTTTCCTTTTTTTTTAGGTCTGCTCAATCATGAAATATTCTAACATGTTAGTTCAAATTTGTCAGTTAAACCAGAAATTTAAATATTTGCAAGATCCTGTAAGGAAAAGAGATGACAATTTGATTGGCCAGGGTAACTCAGTCATTGTTTGAAGCACATGGTCTTTTTATTATCAGCCAATCACAGGGTTGCCTTGGTCAGACAAAACTTAATCACCCTTCTTGTCCGGCCTCAGTTGTGCAAAACCAGTTGATAAGTAAAGTATTAGTTTCTTAGTTCTTTTGGTCAGTTACCGTTTTGGGTAAGTCTCTTACAAGTTTTAAATTTAGTTAGTTTTATTTTAAATATGATAACAGATGTCCTCTCTTTTTCAGATTTTGATAAAATCTCATTCACAAAGATTCTAATTAATTTTATTTCTTTTAGGGCTCATGATTAAGAAGCAACTTATAAACTTAAAATAAAGTCAAGATTTTTTTAAAAGTATATTATATCAAGAAGGAATTTTTAAAAGATTGAAAATTAATATAATTTTGATGAGCAGAGCTTATTTTCAAGAATTTAAGTTGAATGTTACTATGGAAAAATGAAGATTTTAAAATAAAAGTTTTGTTCAATAATTTTCAAGAGGATATTATCTTTACCTGCTTTTGGCATTTACACAAATTTTTACAAGTCAAGACATTAAAAAATATTGATAAAAAGAAATAGATCATGTGGGCCTAGTACGCTACAAAATGCGCAACTCTGCTGAACTTGTAAAGTTTGGTGTCAAATGTAAGATATAAATTCTTTAATTTAATTTAAAAAGTGTTATTGAAGTAACTTAAAATGGCTTTAAAAGTAGAAATTTTAGTCAAATAAGAACTTCAATATGAACTAACAGTAAGAAGAGGGATTGAGTTTGATTCCAATGACAGTGTGTCAGAGCTAAGAAAGTTATTAAGAGCAGCAATAAAAATTAATGTACTGTAATGCCTAACCCTTATAATCTTTCAAAAAGGTTAGTTGTTGTTGACGAAATTCAAACTTTAACTAATAGTTTGCAAAGTTTGGAAAACAAAATCCAAGATCTTGAAGAGAGTAAAGACATAAATGGTTTTATTAGAGCAGAAATTAAAATTAATCACTATGGATCATAAGAGTAAATCATTTAAGTCAGTTTAAGCTAGGCGTGGATGAAAAAGCTAAAGTAGAGGGTTTGATTGACAAGTTAAAGACAGTAAAAGAGTCATTTGATAAACTCAACTTTGATGCAAACGAAAAAGCTACAGTAGAGCGTAAACTAAGTGAAAGTATTTTAGAAGAGGAGGAACTCGAAAATGTTTTTACAGAAAAGTTAAAGTGTGTAGAAAAAGTATCACAATCTAATTTAAATGTGCAAGAGGATCAAAAATGTAGTTTTGCTAAGCTACCCAATCCAATACATTTAAGAAATTTTCATGTTTGTGATGGACTTGATGTAAATAAGTTATTAGGTTTCATAAGTAACATTTTGAAACTCAAAGATGAAACTGAGCTTACTGATGATCAAGTAATAGACTTAAGCTTAGGATACTCAACAGGACCACTGCATATGAAATTGCTAGAGTTCAAGCGTTCCAAGGTAAGCTTAAGTGTGCTTCATCAAGGATTACTATCCTATTTCGTACCTGTAGGTTTAAGGGAAAATTTGAAAAGAAACCTTGTAAACAGACCTCAAAGGGTTAATGAAGCTCTCAATTGTTATATGCTAAAAGTCAAGGAAAATGCTAGGTTGTTAAATTGTGCCTATTTAGAACAAGAATTGGTAGAGTTAGTAACAATAGGAATGAACCCTGAAACCAGATCAAAGTTGGTATTTTATAGTATGCCTTAATCTTTTGATGACTTAGATAAGTTATGTATACATGCTCAGAATGTCGCATACGAGGATGACTGTTGACGCTCCGTGAGGGTACACAACACAACCCAAGGTAGGATGGTAAATAATATAAGTAGTCCAGTCAAATGTTTCAACTGCAATAGATTGGGACACATTGCAAGGAACTGCTTCAGGAGACAGGTAAACCCAGGACCGATACCTCAGAACAGATTCAATGTACCACCTTTTGCTCCTCAAAACCGATACAATGGACCACCTTTTGCTACTCAAATCCATAACCATGGACCACCTTCCGGACCACCTCCTGGACCGCAAAGTAGATACAACGAACCACCTTCTGCTCCAAAAAATGGGGAAGTGGGGGAAAATCATAGATTGTGCCGATTTTAAATTCAAAGATTTAAAATCCGCGCCAGGCAATGGACAAGCCAGTCCAACATGACGTAACGCGGAAGGATACTCTGGAAGACCGTTGGGAGCCGTGCCGTGTGCAAACCATCTCGCTCGTCACTCGTGGCTCAGTAATCGCGTAGTCAACATGTGAAGTCGCGTTTTGTCGCTGGTGTAGGACGAATTTATTAATATCTTCATTCGTAGCTCGGAAATTCGCGTTCGGGCGAAAATTGTACGTGCATCAAATGATCGCAATTGTCAAAATTTCGCCGAATTGCATTTGGGGGTGTGTTTCATTAGTATTAAGTCGAGACAGTTGAAATGCCGGATTGATTGTTCGCGTTCGTGATGAAAATTCGTACATGCATCATATCGATAGCAAATGTCAGTTTCTAGCGAATCGCGGGTCGTCGTGACGGTATTTTCAATTGAATCATTAAACGCCAGCTCGAAAAAACAAGAATTAATAAGTCCTACACCAGAAAAAAAAACCGTGTCGTGATGTTCCGCTCGGTCAGACAAAAAGTCACAAAACCACGAGTCAGTTTTTAAATGTTCGGTACGCGTGAAACTTCGTCGGAATGTATGTGTATTTGTCGACATGTGTACGTAAGTAAATGTTTTGTGTTATTTGTGCTTTAGTAATAATATAGTCATGCCAATCTGCCACATTTTTTCACATGTACCACTCGTTTTACAAGTTATGAATCATGTTTTGTTTGGTCTGAGATTTTCATGTTTCATTTGGTCTATTTAGAGCACGTGGTCACGATTCAGGATAAAATGTTTTATTAAATTTGGTCATGTCATACAAAGAATTTAAGTTATAATAGTGAACCTAGTCAAATGAAAATTATTTATTAAATTGAATTGAAATGGTATATTAATTTTAAGAGCAATGTTAATCTGTGATATTATTATTTTTGTATTCTATGTAAAGTCAAATTCCATCATCATCAGTATTATTATTTAAAACGTTTGTATTTCATGTGTAGAATAATTTTAGAACAGTATTACATTTTTAAACAGTGAGAGTTTGATTGTGTATCGTAAATGGGGGTAACAGAGTGCTCGGTCGAAGGCTAGGGTTGATAATGGGCCATGAGGATAGACTCCCATTAAATTCATAAATATTAAATATTAAATATTAAATAAAAGGTTATCAAATAATCGACTCAGTAGTCGATTGGCCCCGTTGCACTGATCAGCAAGGAGTGATGTAGATCACAAACCTACATAATAGTCCCTGTTTGATTAAATTGTAAACTGGCCAGTTTGATAATTACGAACATCCTTGGGGAGTCTGGTGGCCTAAACTAAATAAATAAAGTTGTCAAGGCTAGGTCATCCCGAGACTTTGTAGTTTTAAAATGTGGCAAACCACCAAGCTTAACAAACAATCAACTCTCTCACTCTCCCTTCCAAAATATTGCTAAATAGTACACAAAAGGTTATCACATTGTATAAATTTTATTAATTATTGTATCACAGCTCATTTGCAATTATACTCCCTCAGACACTATACCAATAGTCCGTGGGAGTATAAAGTGCGCAACTCTGCTATTCCCTCTCAGTCAACACTGCACTAATAAACTACGCTAGAAATTAATACTTTATTTCCTTCTTGTACATAAACAGTAAATTGCTTCAATTTTTATTTACTATATTTATTCCCTGAATAGTACACAATTAACATCTCATTATACAGCATTTTTACAAAAATCCATCTTTTCATTCACCTGTGTTTCAGCTAGTATTATTAGTATCAATCTGGTATAAATTAAAGAGGTAAATGGCTTAACTGGAAGAAGTATACAAAGTATACACAATGAGTGTTGATGATCACATTTGGTAAATATATTTTTGACCAAACAGTGTTACAAGTTCATATTTAAATATTTAATATCAAGTTAGTGAATTCATGAGTAATCGGCTTAACCGAATCCAGTATATATAAACATCTTGAAGTCATACCTTTGGTAAATATTTCCTGAACAAACAGTTTCATGAATATTTTCAATCAATATTTCAATATTATTATTTGCAATTTTACAGTTTTACAGAGTGTCAATTCACGTCACAATCTTTCATCAGAGTAGCACATTTCAATTCATGGAGTGTTCAGATAGACACATCTATTAGTTTTAAGAAGTGTTAGAATTAAGCTGAAGAAAGTGTGAAGGAGGACAACATATCAGACCTCTCACGGTCCATAAATCGGACTTCTGGGATATTTAATTACAGGGCCCACTTAACATCTTTAATTCCACTGCGCAGCTCTGTAATTGTAATGTCCTCAGTAGTTCAATTAAACCTAAAATTAAAATTCATTAAAAAACCCCACCAGGGGGCAACTTTTTGTTATACTCACACCTGTATGGAATACCTAAATTGTATTACATAAAGGTGTGAGGTGATTTTATTTGATGGAATGATCAATTAAGTAAGGA